GTGGTGAACAAGTCTTCAAGATTCTTGGCCCTGGCATTTTTGGTTCTAGTGCCTTTGATATCCTTGGTGCCCTTCCCGAGTCTCTAATTCTTCTTGGTATGTTACCACACTTTGCTAATAAATTATTATTATACTAGGAACACAATCTTTCTAATATACTTTCTTTTACAAGGAGTGTTTAAAAGAGTGTGTTAATAGTATTTCTTTGACTTTTGAAGGAAGTGCATTTTTCACTTTAATACCACTATTTGGCCTCTAAATACACCTTTTCCTTTTACATGGTTCTTGTTTGTTTTTAGTTACTGGACTTAAGAGTGATAAAGAAAGTGCACAAGAGTATGCATCCAATGGAGTTGGCTTGTTGGCTGGATCTTCCATCTTGCTTTTGACAGTAGTTTGGGGAACCTGTGTTATCATTGGTAGTCAAAAGTTGAAAGATGACCCTAAATCTAGAGGGTCTAACACCTCCAATTCATCAAATGGAAGGATAAAAGAATCACTAACTGGTATACTATCCACCTGTCAGTGTGTTACTGGGTCCCTATTGTGCTCTAATTACAGTTACATTTTTTGTGGTATTGAACTTATAGCACTATTACTCATTTGTTATGCTAATTGAAGATTCCCTTCATTACCATTACAAGAATAAGTGCTTTGTTTTTTGATGTTTCAAAATCTTCATGAGGTTTACCTTTACAAGTTACAACTAAGGTTTGAAGTATAAACCAAGTTTTAGATAGCTGACTTTTGAAGATACCAGGCATATTAGCTCAGTTTTAGAGCCCAATGCCAACTAAGTACTAACTCATTTCATTTTCTGCATCCTTTTGATGGATTTGTAGGTTCTGGCATTATTGTGGATATAGAGACTATAAAGATGTCAAGAATGATGGTTTTCTCAGTTATACCACTCATCATAATGCAGATTCCAACTTTGTTCAAGCTATCTCCCACACCTAGTGCTGTGACCTTGATGGTTTCTCTTATCATCGCTGTCGTTTTTCTCATCTCCTACTTCATATATCAGGTTTCTCATCCAACACTTTGCCTAATTGGTGATGTAATTTGTTATAAGAGAGCAATGTAGACAATAGTAATTTGGAATTTATTTGGCTAATTGAAAACTGAGACTAAGAAACCATAATGGTACATATTAACAAGTGCAGTTATCCATATTAGAGGACAATAGCTGTAGTTTTTATTGCATAGAGTCATGTGCCAACCTATTTGCCTGTGAAATATTTTCATTGAATGCTTTCAAAATGACTTCTTATTGTTGCTATCAAATCTGCAGGTTTTCAAACCTCACATAGAGAAGACAAGACTAGAATATATTAAACATGACCAATTAATATTAAGGATATTTCAGCATGTTGAAAAGCAAACTCTTCAAAAGATCCTCACTGAGGATGGAACCCCTAATGTTACAGCCATAAGTGGGTGAGTGGAGATTTAATGAAAGATTTTTCAAAGAATGGCCTTTTCCTATTTGTGTAAACAGCTACTGTATGCATAACCGCATATACTTCATTATGCAGACTATATCATGAAATAAGCAGACATGGGGATAAGGACTTGTTAGCTTCTGAAATTAAAGAGCTGCTGCTTCAGAACACAGGAAATGGAGTAAACATCAAAGAGGAACAAATAGCAGGCATGTTAAGAATTTTTGACCGGAATGGCGACCAAGTTATAACCAAGGAAGAATTTGTGGTAGGCTTGACAGAATATATTAACCAAACAAAGCATGCTCTGGACAGGAAGTACCTCCCAAAAGATTCAATGAACAACTTATATCAGGTAAGAAACTCTTCACCTTGTAACATGACTGTAATCCATTAGTGGCATGAATAGTTTGCATGATGTCACAGGTTCATGCCCCCATGCTGCTCTTCTAAATCAAGAAAGACCTTGTGACATGAATACCATGCATTACATCAATGTGAAATTTCTTGTACAGTCTGCTAATATTTAAGAAAGTGCAGGGTTTTAGTCCTCTTGGCATTTGTTTATGATTGGATTAAGCATACCTTTATTATACGAACAGGTTTTTATCAAGCCATGGATTGAACATACGAGGAGAGAACGTGAATTGAAGGGACATCTTATATCTGAAGTGTTAAGGCATGCTCAGAATGATATGGTTGGAAGTCTTTGTAAAGATGATGGTACACCTGATGAAGCTACAATAAGAAGGTTTGTCATAAAACATGACAATTTTGAAATGAAATGTTTGTCATATTTGCATGGAAATAGTACACCTTAACTACTTAGATGTTCACTGGCTGAGCCTTCAATTTCGTAGCAGAACTAAAGATCATAACTAAATATTATAACAATAATATAGTTTGTAGTTTATGAAACCTGGTTGTCTAATATGAACATAGCAAAATTATAAATGTTTTTGAGAAATGTCTGCAAAGAACCTGTGATGCAACAGGTTATTTGAGCAAGTTGATAGCAATGGAGATAATCACGTCTCAAAATCAGAGTTAAAAAAATTAGTCAAGGACATTCATCTCGGTAAGGTTGCAGATTCAGAGGAGGCAGTTACAAAAATCGTTCACGAACTTGACCTTAACAGAGATGATGAAATCAGTGAGGATGAATTTGTTGTTGGATTTTCAAAATGGATAAACAGAAATTCCAGTCAAGCACCTCACTTAATTACAACGACTCATGAAAATCATCAAGTACATGCCCTATTCCTTTACTCAAATAAGTAACTCAATTTCTATTTTGCTTCACTTTTTAAGGGTCACATATACACTGGATAATAGAAACTAACATGTGCTACCTAAATGAATATGTGTCAGACCTGGGAAGAAGTTGAAGAAGTGATGGAAGATAACCAAATCAAAGGAATAAAAGCTTGGTTGAGCGCTTTGGGATATGTAATGCTGGGAATTACTATGTTATCTCTTCTTGCAGAGCCCTTAATACACAGTGTCCAAAACTTCTCTGAAGAAGCAGGAATTTCATCTTTTTTCATCTCATTTATTATAGTCCCCATTGCTACAAATTTTAGAGAAGCAACCTCAGCTATCAAAGAAGCTAGTCATAAGAAGAGAAGAAACACTTCTCAAACAATTTATGAGGTTCGTCATACTCCTTTACAATTTTTACTTCACTAATCTATTCTAACTACATATTTATGTAAAAATTGGGTTCACCGCAGATTTATGGATCAGTTTTCATGAACAATATTCTTGGCTTTGTGGTGATCTCCAGTCTAATATATATGAGAGATATCACTTGGAAATTCTCAGCTGATGCATTGGTTGTAGCAATTGTATGTGCTGCGGTGGGCCTCACTGCAAGTTTTCGCTCCACTTTCCATCTCTGGACATCTGTTCCTGCATATGCCTTGTACCTAGCATCATTAGTTTTGGTTTATATTCTTAAAGATATTCTGCATTATGTTTAGTGACTCTGAGTTTTGAGCAAGCAGAACAGTTTGACTGATAAGCTGCGAATGCAAAAAAAATAGTGTCTGTAATTGATACACACATTCGATCGACCTATTGAAGCAGTTAATCATAATTAATTAATAACTTACTTATATGACGACAATGAAAACTAGGAGTAAAAACAAGTCCAGTAATTTCTTGGTTCATTTTGGCTCTCCTTGTCGCCTTTTCCATGTATCAGCCTCATGAGTGAAGACTTCAGCACAGAGCTACCTGGCCTTTTCAAATAGACTGTGAATGGAATAAAAAGTAGCAGGGCTTCCACCTGAAAGATGTTGGACCATTACCCTTGCCTTTAAGAAGCAAAGACACTTACTTCTCTGTGCCCGAAGTAGATATCTCAACAGTATTCACATATAAGATTCTCCACTATATTCTTATTTTCTTCATCTGCTGAAACATATTGATTGCAGAAAATCCCTGTTACGGATCTTGCTTCCTTGAAGAGGATATTAATTATTATGTAGATGTTCTTTAACCTCATTAAGCTTCAGTCCATGTGATAGTTCAACCACTGCAATGGAAATATTTCAGTTAACAATGCCAAAGCTTCAATTACCGGAGTTATTATATCTCAATGTCCCAGAAACCAAATCACTAACTAAAGCTTCAATCCCAACAACTGCAGAAGTTCTCATTGTACAGATAATCTCCAATTTCATACCCTACTTGATGCAGATCAATTTGCAGCTCTTAAAATTCCAATCCCAGCCCTGAAAACAGAAAATGTAGCGTAGTTTTCCTTTAAAGTCCCAAAATTTATTGAATAAAACGTGTGTTTTATCCAAAAACTGGAAATTGGACAAATTTGACATAACCAAATAAATCAAATAAAGAACCACGAGTCCATGAAAAACACAACCTTGAGACACATCTTAAAATCTCAAACGAAGAGTCCAATATTCTATGATAATGAACAGTCACAGATGATGAACCAAGTAACTGCCATTTCTCTATGAAGAGTGTAGATTCTAAACCCTAAAAACACAAACGGGAAGAAAAGCATTCTTCAGCTCCATATTCAAGCTTTAAAAAATGGGAGAGAAAAAAAATTTGGACCATTTCTCGATTTGTGCGTGTCATCCTTGCGCAGGGGCCATGCTAATCTTCTCTGTATCGTTCCAATTTTATCGGATGTCCCCGAAGGGACAAACCCTATTGAATGTTTCTGCTATATAAAGACTTGTATTTTCGTACAAATAGACAATGTGGGACTTAAAAATGTGAAAGTATATAAGTACATAACGAAGGGCAAACTTTGCTGCCTCTGTAGTTTAGATTAGATCGCTTATAAAGGGAAAAACCAAGTCACATGACAACTCTCGAAAGAGGGATGATCCACAACCAGCTTGATAACAGTATAATTAACTTTTAGTTCACTTCTTAAACTTTCCAAAACTCTATAATTAAGTCGTGTCTATATACCTTGATCTTCTGTACAAAAAAAAAATACCATCTCATCATAAGTTTGTATTCACAACAATATATTCTGATGTTGCAGCACCTAATTCTCAAATAACTTCAAGGAAAAAAAGTGATGGTTCTAGCAGAACCAGGCTCACCAGGTCATAATGAACTGGTGGTGCTACAGCCTGTCATCCCTACACTGTTGAGAGCCAGAGGTTGTCGCTGCTCTGTGAAGCCAGCCTCACGCTGTGCCCTCTTGTTTAGGATCCATGAGACCTGTGCCTTCGCTCAAATCACACGAAACAACTCTCAACTTGTAGTGGGCAAGCCAACCACATTGCACTCAACAGTCCAACCTAAGAGCCATGCAACAGTTCCATCACATTAATGCCCCCACTTGGGTCACAAGTTAATGTTAATCAACTCGGCAAGCTGAGATGCTTATTATAGGATTTATAAAGACTAAGCTCATTGATATTCTGGCCAATGTGGGACTTGATATTATAAGAACAAACAACATTTTAAGGCAAATACTGTAATTTGGTATTTTGGTTTTGATATAATAATTGTTGAACTTTGTTTCACTTACTGCATTGAAATGAAAACCACACACAGGGCAATAGGACCTATTCAGTTTCAACTAATTATGCTGTTATCTACAACAATACACAGAGGCTGATGACTCTAGTTTAATGAATATACTGCATGTATAAGCTATTTTAATTTGTTAAGGTGATTGTTCCTCTGCTGTTTTTCTTATAGGATAGCTTTTGTTTAAATGTCTATGTCGAACTAGCTTCCGTGCTAATCGATAAACATCAAATATTGATCCACTAAGGTTCAGTCCTCATCATGGAGAAAACCATGTTGACAAATTCCTGACATGGTGATTTATAGTGGTATGCTAAATTGAAACAACCAAAATTCATGACATAGTCAAGTTGACATAGTGATATGCTACTAGGGTAATGATCAAATAGGTGATTATTATCTGTGGCAATTGATTCTGTTCTTCCATCCTTTTTACTTTGCTTTTGACAATGATTGGATATATTAGTCCCTAGTCCACTTAAATGAAATTTAGCATGACATAAGAACATTTGCTCATCATAGCATAACTATAAAAAGACAATGATCTTGCATGAATAAGAGCAATTTTTAACTTGGAAGAAGAGCCATGATCTGTGTACCTGACTGTATTACAATCTACAAACTAAATTATATGGCTTAAAAAAACTGCAACATGATCATTGAGATCCTAAAAATTAATGCCACAATCTTCATGTATAGATAACATCAAGTTCCACAAAGAAGGTAAGAAAATTCAATGTTTACTCAATAACTTTGTACAAATAAAAAAAGGAATTCAAAATAATAAATAATTAGACCCCAATGGAAAAAAAACAAGAAAAGTACAGCAATTAGACACACCCTCCCTATTCCATATAAACTTCCATAATCCCTCTTCCTTGTCTTTTACATCCGAAGAGCTGAAATGCTGTTAGATGATGATGTAGAGTATGGTGGCTATGGCTGTGATGGTGGTGTAGAATGAATAGAATGGCCATTATTATTGACCGAGTTTCCCATCTTATGTAGGTTCTGATGCTGATAGATTTGTCTCAATCTTTCTATTTCCATTTTTAATGCTTCTTGGTGACCTGAGAGATTGTTAAAGTGATTTTAGAAGTTTCAAATATGACTAATAAACCTACAAAATATAAAAAGAAGAACATCCAAATTCAATTTCCTTGCTTCAAAATGGTGCTTCTTATTAATGATTTCAAACCAGATACCAACATTATTTAAGAAAAACAACAATCTAATTACTGTAACTGGGTTATCAAAGTGTACAACTTTAGAATAAATGACAAGAACATGTGCAGAAGATATCAAGTAAAATATATATATTACCATCTTTGAAAATCTTATCTTGGGCTAAGGCAGCAATCCTTTGCTTCAAGGAACTATTGTCCACATTAAGAATCAAACGTTGGTGGTCCAAAAAAGCAACACGTGGTGACAATATTGATACCTCTGTCTGATTATTTTCACATTTAACACACATCACAAACATTACTACTACTTAAAAAAAAGTGATTATGAAATTGTAAACTAAAGAATAAAGATTTAAACTTATTGACCTGCAAACTTGTGAAATTCCTTTCAAGCTCTGAGACATATTGCAGCTTCCTCACCCTGGACTTCTGAGCTGATTGCCGGTTAGCCAAAATTCTGGATTTTATCATAAAGGAAATAACAAATAATATTTAATCACACATTCAACTTTTAGTAATGTTTACCAAATCCAATTTTAATATGTAAAAAATCTGTTTAGATGTGAATGCACAACTTTTGTTGTCCTAAGTGGTTGTACAAAACATTATTCTTAAAAAAACATTTCAGTTTTATAAAAGCTACATTAGAAGTTTGACACAAGAAATGATGTGTAGTATGTTTTATGTACCTTTTGACCCTTCTTGGGGTGAGTATCTCTGTCCCTACCTCCTCCATGGTTTCATTCTTTGGTTGCTGGTCATGCTCTTGCATGGGAACCATAACGTTCAATGTCATCATTTTCTCATTGTTATTACGATTATACTCAGACAACAGCAACTGTGGCAATGCACTGTCATCTGAGAACATGGAAATGAGTTGGTCATCATCAAGCACGGCGAAGGAGCTCCGCCGTGGTGGTGAGGAGGCGGCTTGGAAGTCATCAACCCATGATGGCAATTGTTGTTGATGACAAATGGTTTCAATAGTGGTGATGGAATTTGACATATTTTGGTGAGGTAGATGCTTAGTTTTGTGTAATGATTGATAGAGTATGGGGTGGGGTTATGCCCTTACGTACCCTATGACATGTTAATAGACTTATCATTATATCCATGTTAGATATAAAAAGAGTTCTAGTTAAGGAAAAGGTTATATGAGATATGAGAATATCACTACTCATCTTAATGTATTATATTAGGGAGAGAAAGGTGGGTCACATGGGTGAGGGATTAGAAACAGCTAGCTACAACTGGTTAGTGAAACACTTCAGGGTGAACGTGGTTCTATAATTAGAGGGATCAGCAATCACGTGTAAACGTGACCCTACCTTATACAATAGTAGTACCATACAGTAATGCTATGTGATTTCTGTACCCATACCCTGGCTTTATGATCAAATGCCTATTATTTTCACATGGTCATGTTAATTCATTGACTAGTATAATAGTATGTAATCATCTCCATTTCACTGTAATTCTGCTGGTGTGAATTTAATGGTCAGTTGGCTATTTACTATTTAACAAAAAGGGGAATGTAGGACCATTTAATTTTGCTGTGGTATAGTTATATGAGAGAAAATCTGTGCAGCTGATTCGTTTATGAGAAACTGGTATAGTGGGAATATGAGGGACTTTGGGTAAGGATGAGCTGTGAAGAGAAAAAGGCTTTGTAACAATTATGTGCCCTTCCCCATGTGAACTGTTTTAAAGAAAACCGCTTTTGTTTCCTTGGCCCCTAAATCAGATTCACGTGGAGAGATTTGTGTCCTCACTCTGAAAATTGTGGGTACCTTATCACTCCATGCTGTGTATTTTTCACTCTGATATTAGCAGAAAGAAAAATACCATAAACATACTCTTTAAGTATTTTTTTCAACATTTTTATTTGACAGCCTTGAGTTGCAACATGCAGAAATAACTAACAAAGATTATACTTGTCTTCTGGTTTCTCACCAAAGAAATATGAAGTCAAATTTAGAAAATTGAGTTGTCAAAGCCAAGGCTATATAACTAAATGCTGCTAGCTGGCTCAGCAACGTTTAAACCAGTGCAGTGTCAGCTTCTAGAATGTACAAAAATTATGTGATACACTGAAACCTATCACTCTAACATCCACATATATAAACTCAGAATCTGTTGTTCAGTTAGGCCTTCTAATAGTAAATCTCCGTGAGCAACATTATCGCAGAAACAGAAGCACAAAAGTATACAATAAAACATATGACTATGCTAGTTAGTCCTACATTTGGTTTAACACAACCAACTATAAGAACAATGAGAAACTTCCTTTAACAAAAAAACTCAAAATCTTATGACATTACATTAACAAAATCACCATCAATAGCATCAACTTATTTGTAAAAAGGAAAAAGATAAAAGGCAATCTTCTAAATGCTCTACTCAAATAGATAAGAGTAATAGATAAATATATAATATATGACATATTACAATATAGCATAAATGTTGGTCGTAATATATAAATATATAATAGATATACCTGATCGACGTATGATATTAACCGCATGGCCAAGAATGTTGGTCGTAATCAAATGTTGTGACCACCTATTATTATTAATCATGTAAGTTAATAAATATATTAGAATAAATATTGGTAATTAAATATTTAGATAATTTATTACTAAGATAAATATATACCTTCTGACCAATGGGTAAAACTCCTGTCCAACAGCCAATTTAGGAGAGATAAGAGGTAAAACTCCTTCCTGGTAGCCGATTTAGGGGAGAGAGGAAAAAAAAAAAACTCCTCCCATGTAGCCGAGTTAGGAGGGAGAAATAAAAAAAAGTAAAACTCCTCCCATATAGCCGAGTTAGGAGGGAGAAATGAAAAAAAAAAGTAAAACTCCTCCCTTGTAGCCGAGTTAAGAGGGAGAAATGAAAAAAAAAAAGGAAAACTCCAATGCAGTAGCCGAGTTTCCCAAATCTACACCAAAATGGTAATAAAAATTAAAGGTGCACCAAGACTGTAAATTTACAGTCAAGGTACACCAAACGTGTAAATTGACCTAATAATTGCACAATAGATTGTCAGTAGTTACCTTGGGTAAATAGGATAGTCAAGAACCCAAAATGGAGCTTTTATTATTCTAATAAGTGTACTTTATAAAAAAAATTATAATTAAAAAATAAGCAAAAAAATGGAATATTTTTTATAACGTAACAATTATATTATTTAGATGCAATATAATAATATTTTTATCCTTAAATATAAAGATAAAATCAATAATTTATCTATCAATTGATGAATGTTAGATGTTTTTTTTTTCCAAACATACATATAAAACAAATAAATAAGTAAAAATAATATTAAGAATGATAGATTGGTTTATTTTTCCAGTTTATAATCTCATATATCACACTAACAAAATCATATCATAATCTGAAAAATGATCTATATACTAAACCTATGATGGTTAAACTTTGACTAAAAAGTATTAAGGTGAGGAGAATTATTCTCTACTTCTCTTCCCCTCATTGAAAAGGAATAATAAATTGTTAAGGAGAAAAATCACTAATAGATTATTAGTAATAGTATAAGAATTTTTTATATTTTGATTATATCTTTTACAATTCATCATTATAAGAAACATTTTTTTTATAAATATAAAACTCCGTTTAGTACAAGTTTTCATC